CCATTGCTTTCATTGCTAATACCTGCACCACCCCCGCCTCCATAATAACCCTTAACTACTATAATTGTTACTGCTACCACCACCAACAACACTCATACTGTTGCTGCAGCCATGGTCGCCATCTCCTCCCACCACCCCTACATTGACAATTGCTGGTTCAACCCTCAGTGTCCCAACCATGCACCCTCTAGCAATCACCATTGTCACCACCACAATGTCCCCACCATTCCCACACCAACGCAACCACCACCATTACCTCCACCTCCATGATTGTCATCGCGACTGTCCCCACCACCACTAACATGTAGGTGTTACCAAGTCAAGATGTATATATTATTAAGTAAAAATTGAAATCAAGTATAATATGACAATCTTTTTTGACAATAGTTCCAGACGCAATTTTATTGGGTCATTAAGGACACGTGATGTACTTTATTTGGTAAGTAGATCCATATGACTCTTTCCCTTTTTTTAATTTCCTTTTTTGATCTAAACTGAAAAACATATTTTGTTGCTATAATTATCTAAGTGTCCAATTGAAAATATGTCTTTTTTCTCTCCTCCCTCTTTCGTCCTATTATCTCTCACATATCTCCTCTTTATACACACACGTACAATTAGAGTAATAGTAATAATCACACAATTACAGTCTCAATGACAGAGTGATTGTGACACAACTACAATAACACAGTGACAACCTTAATATCACACTAACGTTAACACATCGACACATTCACATTGGNGTAACGTTAACACCTCAACACATTCACATTGGCAAAACGATAGCCACAATAACACTACTATATATAACAACATTNCTAACGTTAACACATCGACACATTCACATTGGCAAAACGATAGCCACAATAACACTACTATATATAACAACATTTTACTACAATATATGTGATATTCACAGTGACAATCACAATGATGACCATAGTAACACATCCAGAGTGACACAACGACAGATACAATGACATAACTATTGTGTATAATAATTTTTACTATGATATAACAACTATTGGATATACATAGTCAGGGGNTGACAGATAAAATGACATAACTCTTGTGTATAATAATTTTTACTATGATATAACAACTATTGGATATACATAGTCAGGGGCGAAGCCAGAACTTTTGTCTAGGGTTGGTATTTTACTAAATTTTTTTTTTCTTCTAATCAATAAAAATAAAATAATAAATTCAAATTTACTATATTGTATTCGATATTTAAAAATTCATAAAATATGAAAAGGGTGAAACTCTGATAAATNTCCATTGCTTTCATTGCTAATACCTGCACCACCCCCGCCTCCATAATAACCCTTAACTACTATAATTGTTACTGCTACCACCACCAACAACACTCATACTGTTGCTGCAGCCATGGTCGCCATCTCCTCCCACCACCCCTACATTGACAATTGCTGGTTCAACCCTCAGTGTCCCAACCATGCACCCTCTAGCAATCACCATTGTCACCACCACAATGTCCCCACCATTCCCACACCAACGCAACCACCACCATTACCTCCACCTCCATGATTGTCATCGCGACTGTCCCCACCACCACTAACATGTAGGTGTTACCAAGTCAAGATGTATATATTATTAAGTAAAAATTGAAATCAAGTATAATATGACAATCTTTTTTGACAATAGTTCCAGACGCAATTTTATTGGGTCATTAAGGACACGTGATGTACTTTATTTGGTAAGTAGATCCATATGACTCTTTCCCTTTTTTTAATTTCCTTTTTTGATCTAAACTGAAAAACATATTTTGCNTATATAGCAACCTTCTACTACAATATATTTTAAAACCATATATATACACACAATAATGTTATATATGAGAGAGAGAGATATGTTTGTGAGAAAGAAATTTATGTGGAGAGAGAGAGAGTGAGAAAGAGAAAGAGAGAACGTACGTGAGGGAGATAGAGAGAGATTTACGTCAAATTTTTTAGACTCTATGAGAAGGAGATTTTAAACAAGAGAGAGATCTGTGTGAGATTGTTTAGGATATAGATGAAAATTTTTAGAATCTGTATTTATTTTAGGGTGCTTAGTGTCTTTTCTCACCCATTTGTCCTTAATGACCCAAAAAGTATGTGCACGGACTAATTGATTCAAAGATTATAACTATGGATCGACCTCCAAAAATTCCTAATTATTAAATATTGAATACAGCAAAAAATTCAATGTGGCCCATTAAGGTCTAACTATTGGGCATCCTTATAAAGGCCCATGAAGCCTAGCGCAACGCAAAAGACAAGATATGAGCTATCGTGTGCTATATGCCATCTTTTTGAATCGTCAACAATCCAACGACCTAGACTTAAGTTGGCTAGAGTTTTTAATTNGAAAAAAATTTAATTTTTTTTCTTCTAATCAATAAAAATAAAATAATAAATTCAAATTTACTATATTGTATTCGATATTTAAAAATTCATAAAATATGAAAAGTGTGAAGCTCTGATAAATATAGCATATATAAATAAAAATAACCAAAAAATAGAGACTAATCATACCCCTTCATAACAAATGAAACAAACTGCATAAAAGATACTATAATATTTCTCCATATATANAATTAATTTTTTAAAGAAAGAGTTTTGAAATGAAATTGGGATTTGAATCAACCGAAATTCAA